TGGCTCCCTTTAACCTGGTCACATCCTATGGCTGGTGTCCATCAGGTCTGGGTAGGAGAGAGGGTCCATTCCAGATCTCATGTCCCCCAGCTGGCCACCCCACCAAGAACATCCCCTTGGGGTTTACCCACACCCAGGGGATGCAGGGATGGAGAGGACGGGCAAGGTGGGGAAGGGTTGATCACACAGAACCCGGGAGAGGACACCAAGCCAGGAGGAGATCATCACGACTAACCCAATTTTGCTTCTCGATTCCCTGCAAAGGAAAAACAGAAGCAATGAGTAATCAGAGTGAACATCTTCTTATCGCACGCCTGCAACCACAGGAATGGGCAGATCCCAAACTCCTCCTTTTTGGGATGTGGGAAAGCACCCCAAAACCCTGTGAATGGCTCCCTCCAGCCAGCTCAATTCCCATGGCTGGTGGCCAGCAGGTCTGGACGTGGGAGAGGGTCCATCCCTGCTCTGGTGTCCCCAGGATGCCCACATCCCCAGGCACATCCCCTCGAGGTTTGTGTAGACCCAGAGGATGCAGGGATGGAGGGGACGGGCAAGAGGGGAAGGGACCAAGCCCAGAGCACCCAGGAGAAGACACGGAGCCAGGAGCAGCTCACGGAGACTCACTCAGTGCTGCATCTCGTTGCTCTGGAAAGGAAAAACAGGAGCAATGAGTGATGAGAGGGGACAGCTTCTCACCCCATGGCTGCTCCTATTGGAGTGGGCAGAGCTCGGGCAGATCCCAGCTTCCTTCTGTCTGGAGATTGGGAACTGACCCCCAAAGTCTGTGAACGGCTCCCTTCAGCCTGGTCAAGTGCCGCGGTAGGTCCCCAGGGACTCTGGACATGGGAGGGGGTGTACCCCTGTTCTGGTGTCCCCGAGCTGCCCACCCACCACTGGCACATGCCCTCAGGTTTTACCCAGACCCAAGGGATGCAGCGATGGAGAAAATGGGCAAGGAGGGAGAGGATCGAGCAGAGGGGGCCCAGGAGAAAACCTCAAGCCAAGAGGATTTCATGGAGACTCACCCAAAAGTGCAGCTTGTTGCCCTGGAAAGCAAAAGGAATACTTGGTCAGAGAGAACAGCTCCTCATCCAAAAAGTGCTCAAGATGGAGTAAGCAGAGCTGGGGAAACCCCCAAACTTCTCCTTTTTTGGGGAGTGGGAAAACACTCCATGTGTCCCAGGGATGGCTCCCTCCAGCCTGGTTACACCCTACGGCTGGTCCCCAGGGACCCTGGGCATGGGAGAGGGTCCATCCCTTCTCTGGTATCCCCAGGTTGCCCACCCGCTCAGGCACGGACCCTCAGGGTTTCCCCAGGCCCCAGGGGATGCAGGGACAACGGGGACAGGCAAGGGGGAAAGGGACCGAGCGTAGAGCCCCCTTTACAGAACCCCGGTAGAGAGCCAGAAGGAGCTCACGGACACTCACCCAGTGCTGCATCTCGTTGCTCTGGAAAGGAAAAACAGAAGCAATGAGTGATCAGAGAGAACATCTTCCTATCGCACGCCTGCAACCACAGGCGTGGGCAGCTCCCAAACTCCTCCTTTTTGGGATGTGGGAAAGGAGCCCCAAACCCTGTGAATGGCTCCCTCCAGCCAGCTCAATTCCCATGGCTGGTGGCCAGCAGGTCTGGACGTGGGAGAGGGTCCATCCCTGCTCTGGTGTCCCCAGGCTGCCCACATCCCCAGGCACATCCCATCGAGGTTTGTGTAGACCCAGAGGATGCAGGGATGGAGGGGACGGGCAAGAGGGGAAGGGACCAAGCCCAGAGCACCCAGGAGAAGACACGGAGCCAGGAGCAGCTCACAGAGACTCACTCAGTGCTGCATCTCGTTGCTCTGGAAAGGAAAAACAGGAGCAATGAGTGATGACAGGGGACAGCTTCTCTCCCCATCGCTGCTCCTATTGGAGTGGGCAGAGCTCGGGCAGATCCCAACATCCTTCTGTCTGGGGATTGGGAAGCGACCCCCAAAGCCTGTGAATGGCTCCCTCCAGCCTGGTCAAGTGCCGCAGCTGGTCCCCAGGGACTCTGGACATTGGATAGGGTGCACCCCTGCTTTGGTGTCCCCGAGCTGCCCACCCACCACAGGCACATGCCCTCAGGGTTTACCAGTCCCAGGGGATGCAGTGATGGAGAAAATGGGCAAGGAGAGAGAGGGTCGAGCAGAGGGGGCCCAGGAGAGGACATCAAGCCACGAGGAGCTCATGTAGACTCACCCAAGAGTGCACTTTGTTCCTCTGGAAAGTAAAAGGAATATTTGATCAGAGAGAACAGATTCTCATCCCAAACGTGCTCAAGATGGAGTAAGCAGAGCTGGGGAAACCTCAAACTTCTCCTTTTTGGGGAGTGGGAAAACATTCCCTGGGTCCCAGGGATGGCTCCCTCCAGCCTGGTCATGCCCTTCGGATTGTCCCCAGGTACTCTTGGCGAGGGAGAGGGCCCAGCCCTTCCCTGGTGGCCCTGAGCTTCCCACCCCGCAAGCACATCCCTGCAGATGTTTCCCCTGGCCCCAGGGGACTTAGGGATGGAGGGGACGGGCAAGCGGGGAAGCGTCCAAGCACAGACCACCCAGAAGAGGACAGGAGACAGGAAGAGCTCACGGAGACTCACCCAGTTCTGCACCTCGTTTCCCTGAAAAGGAAAAAACAAAATCAATGAGTAATGAGAGGGGACAGCTTCTCACCCCTTGGCTGAGTCCAAACTCCTTCTTTTTTGGGAATTGGAGAAGTCCCCTTTTTCCAAAAGGGTGTTCTCTGCCCTCCTATCCCCACCCCAGCCCAGCCAGGCTCTCAGAAATTACACCTGACTTAAGCAGAGATTTAAGGCTCAGCCTGATTTAAGATCACTCAATACCACTCCCCATTTATTCTCAGGAGCCAGAACATCTCCCGTGCCCAGTTCCCAGCACCAGTGCTCTCCAGTCCCCTTCTGGGCTCCATCAACCCACATCAGCAACCAGAGAAACATCAAGAGCCACCCAAAGCCACGTCCCTCCCTGGGGGCTCCACCAGCTTTGCTGTTGTCAGGGGCCAGAAGGACTCACCCAGCACTCGGGACAGCACCACTGGAAAGCAAAGGCAGAAGAAGAGGAGGTCAGGAGAGCAGCTGCTTCATCACTTGGACCATCTCCCCAGGGTCTCTTGGACCTTCCCACCACCAGATGTTCTGCCCATGCTCCCTCTCCTCCCACCCACACCCTGTGTCCTTGTCCCCAGCCTTCCTTTGAATAAAGGCAAAACATTGTGGTGATGCAAACTCACCTTTCCTTCGAAAGAGGTAAGCACTGAGGGCAGCGGACACCACTGAAAGCACGAGGAGCACACCCAGAGCTGCCATCCAGGGACGGGCATTGTGGAAAAAGGGAGCTGAGAAACAAAAAAATATCCAGAAAAGGCTTCAATTTACAGTCCCCTTTGTGAGGAGAAGAAAAGAAAACCAAAACAACTCCAAAGTTCCAGCTCCTAAAGCTTTGTTGTGGGAGCCCTGGACTCAAGGGGACATCCTCCGTCCCATCCCATGAACATCCCAAACCCCCCCTGAAGCACACCAGGATCACATTATCTCCTGTACTAAAACGCCCCTGCAGGTGCAGCCCCTTCCCCTCCCCTCCCCTGCCCTCCCCTTCCCCCCCGCATATTTCTCCAGCCCCCTGAGGGCAAAAACCCCCAAGCAGCCTGGCCAACCCCAGCCCTGCTCCCATCCTGCACCTGAGATGTGCAGGGACGACGCCTGCTCCTGCTCCAGGCGGCTGTTCCTCACCATGCACGACACCTTCCCATCTCCCTTCCCGCTCACAATGATGACATCTTGGATCTCAAAGAGGCCCCTCTCATCCGGGGAACGTCTCAGGGAGACTGAGGGGAGATGCTGTCCACTGCCATCCTTCCACAGCATCTCCGGTGTTGGGTACCAGCCGGCCGATCGACACACCACCCGGATGCCTCCGTCCTCGTAAGCCTCCAGAGAGAGGAGAGGGACAGAGCCCATGGCTGGGGGAAGAGCCCGGGGTTGTCCTGAGTTAGGGATGGACCCAGCTCAAAGGTCAAGACCCAAACCCCATGCCAGACACATCAGAGGGTGCCCAGGGGGCTGTGGGGCCAGCCACATGCTCCTCACACCTCCCAACCCACCCCAAAATCTGCAAGAACCAGAGAGCACTGAGGCCAAATGGCCCCAGATCTCCCATAAAACAGCCTGGCAGAGCAGCACCGAGCGACCAAGCTTTGGCGACTCAAGGCAGCATCTCTGCACCAACACAGCATCACAAGGACACCACAGAGACCCAAATCCACCATGTCCATGCCACTCTACCCCCAAAAACATGTGTGTGCTCCCTCCTGGGCAGGCACAGATAGGAAGAGACCCCCTCCCACCCAACCTGTCTCAACGGCTCATGGCTCATGGCACCAAATAAATGGATGTGAGGATGGGACAGAGCTCTGGAAGGGACACACCAATCCAGGGACACCTGCACCATATGCAGGAAAGACCACAGTGGACACAAACCTGCCACCTTCAGCTGCACCACAGCTTCTCCATAAGAGGCAGCATCTTGCACAGTGCAGACGTACTGGCCATCATCAGAGGGTCTCAACCCAGAGATTCGCAAGTCCAGGCTCCCACGGGAGAGACCATCTCTGGCCAACTCTGTCCTTCCAATGTATTCCTCCATCTGCTCATCATACTGGTCTGCTCCGTGTTGGTAGGGGTGCACCGTTTCAGAGACCAGGTACCGGATCCACCTGATCTCCAACCTCTGAGCGTCCACCTCTGGGGACAAGTGACACGGCAGCACGACGTCCTGCCCCATGGTGGCAAGGAGAGGTCGGCCTGGTCCCACCACTCTGAACTCCGCTGGGTGATGGAGAAGGACACAGGGAGACAGAGATTACACCCATGTTAATTTAGGGGCATGGCAAGAGGCCAGCTTGGTATGAACAATGCCTGATGAATCCCGCAGGCGTTGCTTTGCCCTCCCTGCGGCCCAAAGACACTGGGGAAACTGGAGAGGGAGCAGGAGGACTCGAAGGAGAAGGATGTTTCCTGGCAGTGGGAACTGCTCCAGAAAATCATGCCCCCCCCCACACCTTAAAATGACCCCCTCCCCACTCAAAGCAGCCCTGGCAGAAGGGACAAAGGCTTTGGGGGAGCACCATGGGGTGTGAGGGAAGATGTCCCAGGGCAAAGGGTCTGTGACATTACAAGACCAAGGAAAAGTGAAAGCAATGTGAGGCCTAGCCCTGGGCTCAGTTCCTCCTGCCCCACAGCACCTCCCCTGCCCCACATCTGCCACCCAGAGCACGCTCAGCCCCCCCAGCCCTGCAGGATCCCTACCTGATCCCAGCCGGAGGAGGTGGAAAGTCAGGAAATGACTGAGGAGGCCCCATGGGCTCGTGGGGAACCCCATCTGTGGCCAGAGCTGGAGAAGAGGGTGGGAAGGGAGGCAGAGGGAGGGCAAGGGGGGGGTTACAGCCGCCACAGAGGGGATGGGGAAGAAGGTCTGCACCTGCCCCCAACACCGCTCCAGAAATTCCACCAAACCACCTGCACCCTGACGTTGGAAGGAGCCCTTGGTCAAGGGACGGACGGGATCCATGCAGGGCTCCCAGTGCAGACCCTGGTCTGCCCCACTTCCCTCCCCAGGATTTATTCTAAATCCCTTCCAAAGACTTTAAAATAATTAAATATTCTAAATTCCCCTGCAGAAAGAAATTTCTCTCACCCAATGTGTAGTCTCCAACCTGTGCCAGTTTCCAGGGTCCAGAATTCCAGGAAGTGATTTAAGCCTCCACCTCCCTCATTGTGAGCTCAGGTTCCTCATCCAGAACTGAGCCACATCAACAAGGCCAGGGTCATTTAATAACCTGCCAGTGGCAAAGCACCGATGCGAAACAATCCCCCTCCCCGTTCCTGGATGGGCGTGGGTGGGGGTGGCTTTTCCCAGGGCTGTGCCTCTCCGGCAGCCTGTGCTGGAGCAGGGACTTTGGCAAGGTTTTGCACCCATAAATAAGCGGGGCTTTTTCACCCAAAAGGGCTGATTTTCCTGTGTAAGGCCATTGTTGCAAAGGAAGGAGAGAAGTCCAAACCAGACCATGATGAATCATCCACCTGCGCCGGTTCTGCTCCATCCATCTCTTGGGGGTTTTTATTGGTGTTTCAGGACATTTCTATTTGGGAGAAAAACTCGGCAGCTCATGGGTCCCAGGAACCAAAACAAGGAGAAAAACAATGGAAAATGAAGGACAATAAGGATTTTTGGGGAGGAATCATGCAGAGCTGAGAGCCTCATTGTGATTTTTGGACATGTCAGAGGAGTAGTGTCCCTGCAGCTCCACAACAGCCGGGAGCTTGTGGGGAGCCAGGGACGAGGGGACTAGATGGGGTTGGGGAGGCTTCAAATGTTGAGACACCCCAGCTGTGCCCTGTCACCTTGGGGACCTCCCATCCCTGGGGAGGCCATGTTCCCTGCTGTCCCCAATATCTCACCTTATGCATGGGGAGCCCATGCCCAAAATAAGGGGTGCAGGACGGGTAGGGTGGGGCTGTTTCCATAGCAAGGGCTGGGTACCGGGGCAGTCCTACCCAGCTCCAGGGGGATCCCTGGGGTCATATCCAGACGTGGGAAGGGGGACCATGGTGAGCCTCCAGTGGTGTAAGGGACCCATATCCAGCCCTAGGGGTGGTGGAATAAGCAGAAGGGGAGGTAAAAAGGGCCTGTAACCTCCCAGGTCGGTACAGCGTGGGGGGTCCCAGAGCCAGCTCCAAGCATCCTCCCCCTCATTACCTGCACGCCAGCATCACCTGGAGCGGATCCGGTCATCAGAACATGCTCCGGTCATGGGAACTGGCCCTGGGAGTCAGGGATGCCCCGTCTGGGCTTTGTTCTCCATTCCCACAGCCCCAGCACCTTCCTGCGCGTCCCCCTGCCCCTTTCCACATCCCTCCTGGCTCAGCCACCCCCAGTCCCCAGCCAGGGCCACCCCTGGTCCCCACAGCACTGGCTGTCAATAACACAAGATATCACTGTAAAATAGCCCCAGGCTGGGAATTCCTTCCACTCTCAGGCGTTTCTTCTTCTGCTGCACCTAAATCTGCTCCGAGACAAAGATGCTGTCGCACACAGAGCCAAAAATCCCCCAAATAAACAAAAAGGCACAGCTTCCTTCATCCAGTGCCCAAGTGGGAAGGGAATTGGGTAGAGAAAAAGCAGTTTCCTTCAGAAAAGGGTCACGGGGTGCAGGAGGATGCTCATGGTGAGTACATGCTGGGCAGAGCCCAGGGATCCAAGAGGTCCCAAGGTGTTGACAGAGGTTTCGTGGAGTGTCTAAGAGGGGTTCCCGGGCATCGAAGGTGTTGCAAGGGGATCCAAGGTGATACAAGTCTTCAAGGTGTTCCAAGCTGGGTTCCGAGTAGTACCAAGGGGATCCAAGAGGTTCCAAGGGGTTCCAAGGAGTTTCAAGGGAATCCAAGAAGATGCAAGAGATCCAAGGAGTCCAAGGGATCCAAGGGGATCGAAGAGGGTCAAAGGGGATCCAGGAGGTTCCAAGGGGACCCAAGGGGATCCAGGAGGGTCCTAGAGGTCCCTTGCCCCACAGCATTGCTTAATCCCAGCCAGTGGCTCCCTCACTCCCCCTTCAGTTGTCCACCCAGGGGGAGAGACGAGGGAGAAAAGGAGGGGAAAACACCTCATGGGTTGGAATAAACACAACAGTTTAATACAACAGTTACGGTAGAGGAAAATAATATTATTAATTGTAAAATAAAATGCACAAAATAAAGGGATACAAGAGCAGTTGCCCTCAGCACCTGAGGACTGATTGCAAATCCCATCCCAAGCAGTGAAGGAGGGTCCCAGCCCCCCAGCAGCCCCTGTTTCTATCCCCAGCAGGATATCTGTGGGGTGGAATATCCCTTTGGCCACCTCATCTTGGCCGTGCTCTTTCTCAGCTGCAGGGGGAAGCTGGAAAAGCCCTGGATTGATGTGAACCTTTCTCAGCCACATATGAAAATATGTGTGATCAACAGCATTCCCACACAAAATCCAAAATGCACCCCATACTGGAAAGAAAATCAACTCCATCAAAGCTGAAATGAGGACACCACCCTGCTCAGAGCCTCCCAGCACCAGGGTTACCCCACGGCAGCCCCTGTCCCCTGCCCCTCATTCCCCCTCTGCTCCCCGAGCTGGGACAGTGCAGAGAGTGACATCTTCTGCAGGAGCCAGGAGACAAGAGTGGGGAGTCTCTGGAGAAGGACAGGGTCGGTGGGATGCTGTCATGAGGATGGAAGTGGGGCTGAGGGTCTAGAGGGTGCTGCCCCTGAGGCACAGCTGGGTTTCCTCTGTCTCGAGCAAAAACCAGGGGCACAGGGTCTCCCCGTGGAACGAGCTTGGTGGGAAAGTGAAGATCTCGACCCCAGTGTCCGCGTTGAGGAAAGTCACCAGCCCCTGTCTGCAGTCCAGACAGACCCAGATCCTCCTGGGGACTGGGGACAGGGACAGGGGGGTGGGAGGAGAGGTGAGAGCCTCAAACTGCCCTTCCCAGTGCCACACCGCCCAGACCCCATCTCCAGGGCTTGGTAACACTCTCCCCTTCCTCTCCACAGACTCCTTGGCCACCCCAACACCCCACCATGAATCACCTCCCACCACCTCCTCCACCTCCACCTCCCAGCAGTGCCTCCCCTCCTGGAACCTCTCCCGGCCCAGCACACAGCGCAGATCCTTAAATCTTTCAGGAGTGTTGGGCAGGTTCTGCCATGTGGTTCCACACTTCACACTTCTCAAATCCTCTGACAGGACAAGTTCAGAATGAGCCGTGTTTGGATCCAGGGTCACCATGTCTGCAGGGAACAGGAGGAGCTGGAGCATCAGTGCTCAGTCCTGGGCAAGTTTCATTCCCCCAGGGCCAGGGCCTGCACCCCAGGGCAGGAGACTGGGCATCTCCTTCCTCCTCTCCATCCCCACCATGGCCATGGCTGAGCTCAGTCCAGTGAGAAGAGGCAGATGGCACCTCTGGGTCACCACAGTTTAACTCAGAATGGGGTGAAATGGCAAGAAAAGGAGGTGAGATACAACCCAGTACCATGGGGGCTCTGAGTCACCAACATGACAAGGCATGGCCAGTCCCTTCACTGGACAGCCCAGTTACACGTCGCACAGAGGGAAAGGAAGAGGATTCACCCATAAAAAACATAAAATAACAATAATAAAAAATACACATTATCTGGATTCTGAGGTAGCAGAAATTTTCTCGGAGCTACAAGGAGAGACAAGAGCAGGTCACATCCCATGGCTGGTCCCCAGCGGCTCTGGGAAGGGCAAAGGGGCCATCCCTGGTCTGGTGATCCCAAGCTGCCCAACTCCCCAGGCACATCCCCTTGGGTTTTCCCCAGACCCAGGGGATGCAGGGATGGAAGGGACAGGCAAAAGGGGAAGGGTTGAGCACAGAGAGACTGTAAGAAGACACCAAGCCAGAAGGAGCTCACGGAGACTCACCCAGGGCTGCAGCTCGTTTCCCTGGAAAATTAAAAAACAGAAGCAATGAGCGTTCAGAGAGAACAGGGGATGCAGGGATGGAGAAAAAGGGCAAGGAGGGAAAGGGTCAAGCACACTCTCCAAGAGCAGACATCAAGCCTGGAGGAGCTCACGGAGACTCACCCAACAGTGCACCTTGTTCCTCTGGAAAACAAAAGGAATATTTGATCAGAGAGGACAGCTTCTCATCCCAAAAGTACTCAAGGTTGAGTAAGGAGAGCTGGGAAACCCCCAAACTTCTCCTTTTTTGGGGAGAGGGAAAACATTCCCTGGGTCCCAGAGATGGCTCCCTCCAGCCTGGTCACATCCCACGCCTGGTCGCCAGGAGCTCTGGGCATGGGAGAGGGTCCACCCCTGCTCTCTTGTCCCTGAGCTGCTCACCGGCCACAGGCACCTCCCCTTGGGGTTTCTGTAGAGCCAGGGGATGCAGGGATAGAGGGGACGAGCAAGAGGGGAAGGGACCAAGCACAAAGCACCCCGTAGAGGACATGAAGTCAGAAGGAGCTAACGGAGACTCACCCAGTGCTGCATCTCGTTCCTCTGGAAAGGGAAAAAACAGGAGCAATGAGTGATGAGAGGGGACAGCTTCTCACCCCATGGCGCAAGCAGGCAGAGCTTAGGCTGAGCCCAAGCTCCTTATTTTTGGAGAGCCGGAAAAGTTTCATCTCCTAGGCTCCCAGGGAGGGTTGGGGGGGTTCCTATCCCCACCCCAGCCCACTCAGGCATTCCGCAGTTACACCTGACTTAAGCAGAGATTTAAGGCTCAGCCTGATTTATGCTCAGTCAGTAATTGCCTCCGCTTCTTCCCATGAGCCAGGACACCTCCTGTGTCCAATTCCCAACCCCAGGGTTCTCCACTCCCCTTCTGGGCTCCGTCAACCCACATCAATGACCAGAGAAACATCAAGAACTATGCAAAGCCACATACTTCCCAGGGGGCTCCTTTTTCAGGAGGCTGGGGGTGGGGGAAGCGGGCAGGCAGAAGGACTCACCCAGCGCTCTGGACTGCACCACTGGAAAGCAAAGACAGAGGAGGGGGAGGTCAGGAGAGTGGCTGCTTCATCACTGGGACCATCTCACCAGAGTCTCTTGGACCTTCCCACCAGTCAGATGCTTTGGCCACGCTCCCTCTCCTCCCACCCACACCCTGTATTCTTCTCCCCATCCTTCCTTTTTAAGGAAAGCAAAACCTGTTCTGACACAACTCTGATCGCATTCTGCGTACATCCATGGACCTCACTCCAACCTGAGCCACTCCACTCCATCCCCCCCACTACAAACTCACCTTGCCTTCGGTAGACATAAGCCATGACACCAAAACACATCACTAAAAGCAGGAAGAGTACCATGAGAGCTGCCATCCGGGGATGGACAATGTGGAAAAATGGAACTGGGAAACAAAAAACATTGAGAAAAGGCCTCATTTTACACTCCCCTGTGTGAGGAGAAGAAAAAACCCAAAGCAACCCCAAACATCCAGCTCATATAGCTTCGTGCAGGGAGCCTTGGGCTCAATGGGACATCAACCTCCCCATCCCATGGACACCACAAAGCTTCCCTAAAGCACATCACGCTCAGGTTGTCTCCTGCACTGAAACTCACCTGCAGGTACTCCAGAGAGAGAAGAGGGACAGAGCCCAAGGCTGGGGGAAGAGCCCGGGTTGCCCTGAGTTAGGGATGGACTCAGCTCAAAGGCCAAGACCCAACCCCATGCCAGACACATCCCAGGGTGCCCAGGGGGCAGGCCACGTGCTCCTTTCACCTCCCAACCCACCCCAACGTCTGCAGGAACCAGAGAGCACTGAGGCCAAATGATCCCAGATCTCCCATAAACAGCCTGGCAGAGCAGCACCGAGCGGCCAAGCTTTGGCACCTCAAGGCAGCATCTCTGCACCAACACAGCATCACAAGGACACCACAGAGACCCAAAGCTACTGCATCCATGCTGCTTGCCCCCAAAACCCCCTCCAGCAGCATGAGCATGCTCCCTCCTCAGCAGGCACAGATGGGAAGAGACCCCCTCACACCTGACCACTCTCAAAGGCTCATTGCCTTCAGAACCAAATGGATGGATGTGAGGATGGGACAGAGCTATGAGAGGGACACACACCAACCCAGGGACACCTGCACCATCCCCACGAAACAACACAGCAGCCACAAACCTGCCACCTTCAGCTGCACCACAGCTTCTCCATAAGAGGCAGCATCTCGCACGGTGCAGACGTACTGGCCATCATCAGAGGGTCTCAACTCAGAGATTCGCAAGTCCAGGCTCCCACTGGACAGACCATCTCTGGATAACTCTGTCCTTCCAGCGTATTCCTCCATCTGCTCACCATACATGTCCTCTCCGTTTCAGTAGAGGTGCACTGTTTCGGAGAGCTGGTGCCGGATCCACCTGATCTCCAACCTCCGAGCGTCCATGCCTGGGGACAAGTGACACGGCAGCACAACGTCCTGCCCCACGGTGGCAAGGAGAGGTCGACCTGGTCCCACCACTCTGAACTCCACTTGGTGAAGAAGAAGGACACAGAGAGACAAACATTACGACCAACTTAATTTATGGGCGTCGCATGGCAAGGGGCCATTTTGGCGTGAGCGGTGCCCACTCCTTCCCGTGGGTGTTGCTTTGTCCTCCCCGTGGCCCAAAGACCCTGGAGAAACTGGAGAAGGAGCAGGAGGACTCGAAGAAGAAAGAGGTTTCCTGGTGGTGGGAACCTGCTCCAGAAAATCATGACTTCCCACCCCAGCCAGCCCTGGCAGAAGGCTTTGGGGGAACACCTTGGGGCAGGACTGAACGTGTCCCAGGGCAATGGATCTGTGCCATCACCAGCCCAAGGGAAAATGAAAGCAATGCACAGCTGAGTCCTGAGGTCAGTTCCTCCTGCCCCACGGCACCTCCCCTGCCCCACATCGGCCACCCAGAGCTCGCTCAGCACCCCCAGCCCTGTAGGATCCCTACCTGATCCCAGCCGGAGGAGGTGGAGAGTCAGGAAATGACTGAGGAGGGCCCACAGGACTGCAGGGAACCCCATCTGTGGCCAGAGCTGGAGAAGACGGTGGGAAGGGAGACAGAGGGAGGGCCATGGAGGGGATGGGGAAGAAGGGCTGCACCTGCCCCCAGTGCCGCTCCAGAAATCCCACCAAACCACCTGCACCCTGATGTCGGAAGGAACCCTTGGTCAAGGGCAAGACTGGGACCATGTGCTGCTCCCGGTGCAGCCCCTGCTCTGCCCCACTGCCCTCCCCAGGATTTACTCAAAATCCTTTCCTAAGACTTTCAATTAATTAAATATTCTAAATCCCCTTTGGAAAGGAAATTCCCTCACCTGAGGTCTAGGAGCTGCACCCCACATCTCCAATCTTTGCCAAGTTCCAGGATGTGGTTTAATGCTCTACGTCCCTCGTTGTGAGCTCAGGTTCCTCATCCAGAACTGAGACACATCAGCAAGGCCAGAGTCATAAAATAAACTGCCAGTGGCAAAGCAGAGAAGCGAAACCATCACCCTCCCCATTCCTGGATGGGAGTGGGTGGAGGTGGCTTTTTCCAGGGCTGAGCCTCTCCCAGCAACTTTGCACCTTTGGTTTTGCACCCATAAATAGTCAGGGTTTTTTTCCCAGAAAGGGCTGATTTTCCTTTGTACATCCATTGTTGCAAAGGAAGGAGCAAAGTTCCAACCAGGCCATGATAAATCATTCACCTGCACTGGTTTTTATTGGTGTTTCAGGACATTTGTCTATTCAGGATCAAAACTCAACAGCCCATAGGTCCCAGGAACCAAAAAAAAAAAAAAAAAAAAAAAAAAGGAAAGGAAAAAAGAAAAAAGAAAGGAAAAAAAAAAGAGAAGAAAGGAAAATGAAGGATCTTAGGGGTTTTTTGGGGGGATGTTGTGTAGGATGGAGAGCTTTGTTGTGATTTTTGGACATGGGAGAGGAGCCCAGCAGTGTCTCTGCAGCCCCACAACAGCCAGGACCTTGTGGGGAGCCAGGGACAAGGGGACAAGATGGGTTTGGGGGGGCTTTGAATGTCAGGACACCCCAGTTGTGCCCTGTCACCTTGGGGACAAAACATCCCTGGGGAGGATGTGTTCGCTGCTGTCCCCAACGTCCTATCTTCTGCATGGTGAGCCCATGCCCAAAATAAGAGGTACAGGAGGGTTTGGGGGGCCTGTACCTACAGAAAGAGGTGGGTACTGAGTGGGGGTGTCATACCCAGCTCCAGGGGGGGTCTCTGGAGTTACACCCAGATGTGGGGAGGGGGACCAGGGTGAGCCCCTGTCCCAGTTTGAGGTAAAACAGAACCAACTTTCCATTTAGTAATTCCACTTCTCAGCTTGGCCTCAGCCGGGGAAGGGGGGGACAGAATGGGGGGACCCCAAACTGACCCAGGGGGTGCTCCATCCCATCTGCCCCACACTCACTATAAAAGCCAAGGGATCAAAGAGTCAGCTCTTTCTCCAGTGGCCGGCGTCCAAGGAGGACCCTGTCTGTTCATCTGCCTTTCATCCCAGTCCGTGCCTTCCTGACCCCAGAGCTGGAATCCAGACCCCACCCATCACTGAGTTCAGTCTGGGACATCCCCAATTCCATGCCAGTGATGTCATCCTGGGAGCTTGATATGGTTTTGTATAGATTGTATTTATTTCATTATTTTCCTTTCTCTCTTATTTTTAATATTCCATTAAAGTAGTTTAATTCCTGCTCAACTCATGAATCTCTTTCTCTTGCCTCCTCCTCCCCTGGGAGTGAGCGGTGGAGGGAGAGCATCTGTCACCAGTATGGGCCAGTTCAGCCTAAACTGAAATTTACCCCAAATCCCTTCTTCTGGGTTTCTGGTAGGAATAGAACTGAGGAAGTAAAAAGACCGGCATTTGGGGGTGACAATGATGTGATTAGAGCTTGGTTTAGATTTTTGGACACGGCGGAGGAGCCCAGCAGTGTCCCTGCAGCCCCACAACAGCCGGGAGCTTGTGGGGAGCCAGGGACGAGGGGACAAGAAGGGTTTGGGGGGCTTTGAATGTCGAGACACCCCAGCTGTGCCCTGTCCCTCTGCCCTGCCAACTTGGGGGCTTCAGATTCCTGGGGAGGACGTGTCCCCTGCTGTCCCCAAAGTCCCATCCACATTCATACCCAAAAGAAGGGGTACGGGGGGGACAATGGGCTGTACCCATAGCAGCGGTGGTTATGGAGTTTCTGGGGTGGGGGGAATACCCAGGTCTGGGGGTCCTGGGGATTGTACCCACACCTGGGGATGTGGACAAGGAATGAGCTTCTCTCAAACCCAAAGGGGGTCCAGGAACCCGTATCCAACCCCAGGGGGGTCCAGGAGGAGCAGGAGGGGCTGAAGATGAGCAAGGAGCACCCAACTATTCTCAACAAGGTCAGAGGAGCAGGGAGGTCCTGTTCCCTGCCCTGAGTATCCCCAACATCCCATTCCCAGCAGATCCCACCCCCTGGTGCTCCGCCCCAGTTCAGCTCCCAGCTCCAGACCAGCAGCAGCAGCAATTCACCATTGTAATAAATCCATCTAAAATAGCCCCAGGATGGGAAATTCCTTCCACCTCCGTAAGTTTCCTCTTCCGCTGCACCTGAAGGCACTCCAGAACAAAGATGCTTCCATGCACAGACCCCACAATCTCCCAAAGAAGCAAAAACAATGCAGCCACCTTCACCCAGCACCCAACTGGGAAGGGAATTGGGTAGAGACAAAGCAGTTTTCTTCAGAAAAGGGTCATGTGGTGCAGGAGGATGCTCATGGCGAGTACATGCTGGGCAGAGCCCAGGGGATCCAAGGGGTTTCAAGAGGTTCCAGGGGGCTCTAGGGGTGTACAAGAGGGGTTTCTGGGGTGTTGAAGGAGTTGCAAGGGAATAAGAGGGGATCTAAGGGGCTCAAGGAGTTCCAAGGGATGTTCGGAGTGGTACCGAGGGGATCCAAGAGGTTCTAGGGGATCTGAGGGGATTCAGGGGGTTCTGAGGGGCACCCAAGGGGTTCAAGGGAGATTCAAGGTGTTCCAAGAGGATCAAAGGGGATCCAAGAGTTTCCTGGCTGCCCGGTGTGGCTTAGCCCCAGCCAGAAGCTCCCTCCCTCCCTCCCTATTCCCCAGTGGGGTGGGGAGAAGAGGGATAAAAGCTGGGGAAAACACCTCGTGGGTTGGAATAAAGACAGTTTAAGACAACGGTTACGGCAGAGGAAAATATCTTTCTTAATTGTAACAAAATATACAAAATAAAGGGATACAAGAGCATTTGCCCTCAGCACCTGAGGACTGATTCCCCAGCCCATCCCCAGCACAGCGGGAGGGTCCCAGGCCCCCGGCAGCCTCTGTCTCTGTCCCGAGCAGGATGTCTGTGGGGTGGAATATCCCTTTGGATGCCTCATCCTGGCCGTGCTCCCTCTCAGCTGCGAGGGAAAGCTGGAAAAGTTCTGGACTGAAGTGAACATTTCTCAGCCACGTATAAATATATTTGTGACCAATGGCATTCTCACACTAAATCCAAACATCAGCAGTTACTAGAAAGAAAAATAACTCCATCCAAGCTGAAATGAGGACACCCCCGGCTGCTCAGAGACCCCACAGCAGCCCATGTGCCTGCCCCTCACTCCCCATCTTCTCCTACGGCTGGGGCAAAGAGAGGCACATCTCCTGCAGGATCCAGGAGAGAAGAGCGAGGAGTCTCTGGAGAAGGGCCGGGGTTGCTGGAGGCTACTGAGACGGTGGAAGGGGAGGAGAACATGTAGGAGGTGCTGTCGCTGAGGCACAGCTGGGTTTTCCTTGTCTCCACTCAAAACCAGGGGTGCAGGGTCTCCCTGTGGAACGAGGCTGGTGGGAAAGTGAAGATCTCGATCCCAGTGTCGGTATTGAGGAAAAGTCACCAGCCCCCAAGCCCACTCCAGTAAGACCCAAATCTTCCTGGGGAGCACGGACTGGGACAGGGGGATGGGAGTAGAGGTGGGAGCCATGAACTGGCCTTTCCTGTGCCTAACAGCACAGATCTCTCCTCAGGCTTTGGGTTCAGAGACCCCTTCCGCTCCAGAAACTCTGTGGCCAACCCAACAGCCCACCGCGAATCACCTCCCACCTCCCCCTCCACCTTCCAGCAGTGCCTCCCATTCCAGCACCCCTCCCAGCCCAGCAATCAGTAATTAGAACTAAATTTCTTGTGGTAAGGCAGGTTCTTCTGTATCCTTTCCCTTCTTGCATGTTTCATAGACTTCATCCGAGGTTCAGGATCAGACATGTTTGGACCCAGGTTCCCCATGCCTGCAGGGGACAGGAGAAGCCAGAGCATCAGGGACAGAGCTCAGTCATAGAATCATGGTTTGGCTTGGAAGGGACCTTAAAGACCATCCAGTGCCACACCCTGCCATGGGCACAAACACCTCCCAGCAGACCAGGTTACTCCAGCCCCCTCCAACCTGGCCTTGAACCCTTCCAGGGATGGGGCAGCCACAGCTTCTCTGGCAAACCTGGGCCAGAGTCTCATGCCCTCACAGCAAAGACTTTCTTCTCATCTAAATCTCTCCTCTTTTAGTTTAAAACTCTCTTCACTGGCCAGCCCAGGTACACCTCCCAAACAGGGAAAAGGAGGAGAACTCCCCATAAAAAAACATCAAATAACATTAAATACCCTCTTCCCTCAATTCTGAGGATGCAGAAAATTTCTCCGCTCTACGGAAAGAGAAGATCAGGTCACATCCCATGGTTGTTCCCCAGCAAATCTGAGGGGAGGTGGTCCATTCCTGGGCTAGTGTCCCCAGTCTGCCCACCGCCCCAGGCACTACCCCTCAGGGTTTGCCTGGACCCAGGGAATGTATGGAGGGAGAAGATGGGCAAGGGCGGAAAGTGTTGGCCACAGAGCACCCATGATAGAACACCAAGGCAGGGGAAGCTCACAGAGACTTACCCGGTGCTGCAGGTCGTTGCTCTAGAAAGGAGAAACAGAAGCAATGAGTGACAAGAAGGGACAGATTCTCACCCCATGGAAGCTCCTGCAGCGGTGGGCAGAGCTTGGGCAGAGCCCGAACTCATTCTGTTTGGGGAGTGGGAACAGAGCCCCAAACCTGTGAATGGCTCCCTCCAGCCTGGTCAAGTGCCACAACTGGTCCCCAGGGATTCTGGTGAGGGGAGATGGTCCACCCCTGCTCTGCTGTCCCCGAAGTTGCCCACCCCCCCCAGTAATCTCCCCTCGTGGTTTCGCTGGACACAGGGGATCCAGGGGTGGATAGGACAGGCAAGAGGGCAAGGGGTCGAACCCAGAGCACTCAGAAGAAGACACCAAGCCAAGAGGACCTCACGGTGACTCACTCAGTGCTACATCTCGTTGGTTTACAGAGGAAAAAAAACAAAACAATAAGTGATGAGTGGGGACAGCTTCTCATCCACTAGCTGCTCCTGTTGAAGTGGGTAGAGCCTGGGCAGATCCCAAACTCCTTCTCTCTGGGGACTGGGAACAGACCCTCAAAG